ACAGCCATATGGATCAGGGTAAATAAGGTTAACGTTGCGCGCGTGTAAACAAAAAATATTTACGTGATGAGGATCGGTTTCTAGCAGAAATGTGTTACTCTTAGCAACAATGGTATTTATCACGACGTCGAGCATTTGTATCAAGCCTTCAAGTTCCGATCAACATCGGGCATCGATATGGCAATATTTTGCTAAAAACGCCGAGGTAGTTTAATTCAAACACTGCTCACGTACATGGCCACCGTTGCTACGCTTCATCAAAACAAGCCTATAAAGGGCGTGGGAGGGTGGAGTCGGGAGGGCATTGATGGAACATGTCTCTGCCGCTGCGTCTCTGCATAGCAGCGCGTGCCGTCCCGGAATGATCGAAAAGCTGCCATATGGTGCGCTAGTTCCGTCCTCCTTCTGGCGTTGCACCCGGAGACCTGAACTCACCAAAGAGGCGACGAGTGTATCCCTTTCGTCAGCTAAATATGATGGAGCCGTCTACTTCATGCAATAGCTATCACATGATTGGGCAGAGAGAGGTCACCTGTGGATGGCAATGCCCGGACAGCGGCTGATGCCGGGGGCAGCTGTGCTCAGTCACAGGCGACCCGGACATAACGGCCAGAAGCTTTGCCTTGAGCATCACCTCGCCCGCCTACCAGCCATAAAGAGCTTCCTCGTCATCGCTGCCGTTCCGACCTGCGCCACGGCCAGGCCCCAGCGTCCTGGGGAACGGAAACCATGGGGCCCGGTTCTGAATCTGGGGGTCTGGAGAGATGGGTCCGGAAGGCATGGGACCCGCCCCCATGAGCTCGGAAGAAATGGGGCCCGCCCTATGAGCACGGAAGAAATGGGACCCGGAATAAATGGGCTCGGAAAAAATGGGACCCGGACCCATGGGCTTCAAGAAACAGAAGCAGCATTTAGGATCCAATCTGTGAAACCCTACTCTCTACCCGTATTCCGAAATGACAAGCAATTTAGCATGGTTTGCACAATACAGGAACTGTGACAGCGACGACGACTTGCTGCGTAGCATTGCTCACAAGGTACAACTGTCTGCGTCGTCCTCCTGCGCCGCTACCCCTACTACTGCGGCCAGTGCAAACCGAGTGGCAGATTGTCGCCGCGTGGGAGGTCTTGACGGCTCTGCTCGTCCGCAGGCTGCCCCAGAGCCGCAGACTGATGTCACGGCGCCATCTGACGCTGCTCGAGCGTGGCGCCGCCTGTGGCCGACAGCCAGGACGCCCCCTGCGGTGGCTGCAGGAGCCGCAGATCTCCAGGTGGCGCTGCCCGCGGCCACCTGAGGTCGCTCAGTCCTGTGCTGAGGTGTGCACGAACATAAGCATGTAGCTCTGCTGGGAGGGCTCAGTCCCCTCTGCCATAAGTGAAATCCAGGCTCAATTTTAAAAATCGTTTTCATGAAACATGCAGGCAGAAATCTATCAACAATGACAAAACGCCATAATAATGTGTTTCAAACATCGTACGCACCAAGAGCCAGAATTTCAAGACGCCTCTGAGCCTTCTGGCATCACAACTTATGAGACACCTTCACCTCATGAGATAACCTCAGGGGCGCGGGAGATGAAATATCATGAGACAAATTCATGACACATCCAATGTTACCACAGGTAGTTTCGGATCATGTCTCCAATGTCTCCCACTGGCTGCTCTGGACTTGAAGCCTCCCACTCTGTCACCAATCACTCTCGGAACCGAGTCACGGTTCCGACACAGCTACTGGTCTCTTTTGGGTCCAGATCTCGGCCGTTACCACTGGTCCCTCTTTCGGTGTGCCCTCAGAGTTGCGGCTGGTCTCTCTTGGATCCCGTCCTCCGCAAGGGGCAATTTTGGGTCCAGCCTCCGATCATAGCTGTGTTTAAAAGGAGCCCTCCACATTTGTATGGTGTTTTGAACTGAAATGGCCGACTTGAAGATCGCTCGGTGCAGTTCACAGCCTTGCCCTTCTTAAGACCTAAACTCAGCTAGTTTCCGAGCTACTCGGCCGCGAAGATGTGCAGACTTTTTCGTGCACATTAAATCAAGGTCCCCCGGGCATCCATGACGCCATAAGAAAGTCACTGATATTCTGCCATTCGCTGTGCAACGATCGAGGCCAAAGAATTACCTGGTCGAGTCGTTCATATCTGGCGTTCAAGAGCACGATTTCCAGAAAGGACGGTGTCAATTGGCTCTCCACCCATGTTGTACAAGGTACGATAACGTGATCAAAGACTGGCGTGATCAGGCGTATATTTACCAGAAAAGGCAATGGTATTGTCCAGAGCATACTTTTGAACTTGAAGGCATACTTATAGTTATAAGTGAGCTAATTCCATCATATCTGGTGCTTGCTTCGATACCTGCAGTTGCGAAACATTGCCGTTAAGAGAGGGCATTAGGCCATGGCACATTCCTTGTGTGATAAAGGTGCACTTGTTGGGAATGACGGTTGAGAAGATTAAGTACGAGTGACGGCGAAATGCGAGAGCGGGGACTAACAGATGTATTGACCTGCGGCTTTTTGTATAACGATACTTCTTTTCCGTTTCCACCAGCAAGTGTTGAAAAGTGCCAAACAATACATATTTGCTCTTTGTCTGCCTACTTATATCACTTAATTATAATGCTTTTCATCCCTCACGCATTTTATCATATTCGTTCCAAAAAACGATATCAGCATTGAAGTTGTCATATACTTAGCGTGAACGTCTCACATTTAAAGATATTAAAGCATGCATCATATATGATGAAACAAGTTTAGTTATAACTAATGGTATCCTTTCACCAGAAAAGCCTGGTCTAAACAAAACAAGCTCTCTGCTTGTTAACTGTGTTCATCGATACGTCGTTATTTGATTACGGCATCGTCCATTGGACAATATTTATTGAGAAGATGAGATGAGAGACAATATTGACGGCTGCGATATCTGGAAATCGTCCTCACGAACGTCAGATATGTACACCTCGAACAATGTATTTTTCTGGGCCTTGATCGCCGCATTGCTTATGGAACGGCAGGATTTGAATGGCGTCATTATGATGCTATGAATGCCAGGTTCCCTTTAAATGCTTTCCGACAATTACCCTCCCACATCTTTGCAGCCTTCTAGCCCAGGAGCCAGAGGTTTGCAGGTCTTAAAAAGGAAATGGCGGTGAGCTGTATCAAAAAATCTCCAATCTGTCCACTTCAGTTAAAGAACCCATACAAATGTAGAGCACTCTCTTTAACACTTCGCTGCAACTGTACCCATTGCAACATCATTGTCTAGTTACGCAAGCATGTGGAATGTTGTGCGGTGCGATCGTGATTCATCAGATACCTCCCCGTTTACCAGCCGCCCGCTCATTACCACGAAATATTTATGCAATATCTGGAGCCTAGACATGAAGCCAAGATAAGCTGTAACATTACTGGTATGTGTCGACGACACAGTACTCGTTCGGTAACGTTACGGTGCGCTGAGGTGAGGCCGCATTACTTGATTGAAAATATTTCTCCTGTTTTTTTTTTCTTGGCGGAGAATTGACTTCCAAAATAGTGAACGCGTTTTCGTGCTGGGGAATACAAAGCTCAAAAACGTAGTTGTAAGCCAAATCCTTTCAGCGAAATAAAGGCTGCCCCATCTGAATTACGCTCTGTTGAATATCACAGGAAATGATTGGCTGCTCACGGAAAAATGCTCGAGATACGGGTCAAACGAATCCAAACCCACTCAAACTCACCCACCGATTCACTTTTTTTTGTAAAAATTGCGAATGTAATCTGAACAAGCTCATCAAAGCTACAACACTTTTTTACAACCCTCTTTAATGTATCGACTGCAGTCCGATTCAACATCAATTATAGGAATGCAGCACATATACCATACGCGGCATGTTCGGGCACATTTACTACTTCTTGAGGTGACATTTGACCATGCAGTGCACTTCGATGCATTGCTCCGGCTAATTTTCAGATCCAGTCCAAGCCTATTCCGTGCTATATGGGGAATTCCCGATCCATTTCAGTTAAATCCACGGATGAAGTCAAATGCATTGGTGCATCCAATCCGTGAAGAGCTCTTTCGCATGACGATCTGGCCTGCGCGTAAGCCGTGCATCGGACGCTCCCTGCGCGTGAGCCTTACATCGGACGCTCCCTGCACGTAGAACTGACATCGGACGCTCCCTTCGCGTAGGGTTTTATCGGACGCTCCCTGCGCTTGAGCTTTGCATCGGACGCTCCCTGCGAATAATGCTTACATCGGACGCCCCCTGCGTGAAATGCTTACATCGGACGCTCCCTGCGAATAATGCTTACATCGGACGCTCCCTGCGAGTAATGCTTACATCGGACGCCCCCTGCGTGAAATGCTTACATCGGACGCTCCCTGCGAGTAATGCTTACATCGGACGCTCCCTGCGAGTAATGCTTACATCGGACGCTCCCTGCGTGAAATGCTTACATCGGACGCTCCCTGCGTGTAATGCTTTGTAATGCACACAATCAAGAAAGCGCTGGTCGCATCGTAAGCGGGTCAGTCTAGGTGCGGACGATTCGGACCAGGATACCCGTAGGCCACCGTGGTAAGCATGATGCATGTGACTCAGTGTGTGCTGCATAGTTGCTCCATCAGCACATCTGACGGTTCAAAAACGTAACCCACGTGCCGAAATCCCAGCGCATATGGTGCGCTGGGATTTCGACACGTGGGTTACGTTTTTGAACCGCCGGATGTGCTGATGCCCTACAGATTGGGTAAGATCTCATTCGGTACAAATGTGTGCGTCGTTTTATCTTTGAAATCTACTTGAACAGGTGCGTTATGGTGTCTTAACATCACTGAGCGTTATTTTTCTTGAGTAATCTCAGGACTCATCTGTAAGTGTGTTTTTCCATTGTTGTTCACTTTCCTATATCTCCAGTATTTCATATTTTGTCAAGTTTGCTCTAGCTCTAGAGGCTCATCCGTCGCCCAGAACCACTAGCATTCTCTTCCAAAGGCCCTGCATTGGTCACCAGATTTTATATGAAAGCAACATGCCGATCACCACAAAAAGCAGAACACATACGCTAAGCTGCAGATATAGAACATTGAAAGGCAGCCGACAGGGCTCCTCCATCTGCGCGCGGTGCCCGCAAACCGACGAGCGAGCAGCCGCTGCAGATTTACCCCAGATAGCTTCCAGGCGTCATGCAATCTCCCGTGGCGGTCACACCTCCCGCTGCGGCCGCGCCCAGTCCACTAAGTAGACCGGTATTATTGGCGCAGTGCCGGACGGGGCCAGACACGACAAACTCTTGCATAGGAGGGGCGCCGACTTTCGCTCGCTCTCGCGAGCTCGACTTTGCACCGCGCCTGCCTCAGAGCAAGTGGTAGTACGCTGGTACGAGAAGCATGTCCAAGAATATCCAAGCTTATCCGGAACATATCCAAAATGCTCCGTGCTCTTTTTGAAACATTACATTGGAACCTGCGGCTGTGATATTGCAAAACAATCTTCATCGCGCTTGTCATATCGTAACGCAACTGATTTGAATGGGATGCCAACAAAGTTCTTCAATTTGCAGTCATGTGTGTTGTGTTGTCGTGCTGGCAGAGGATGTCTCAATATCTGCATGCTGGTAGGTGTAGATCATGCACAGACCTCCTCCGTTTTGCCACCTACTCAGGCGTGTTGTCCAAAGAAAATTGGTCGTCGTTCGGGTCCAGAAGTGGGGGATCGCCCATCTGAAACGTGACAGACAAGTGCCATGTCTACAACAGTGTGAACAAAATAACTAACAATACAACAGTGTGAACAAAATAACTAACAATACAACAGTGTGAACAAAAGTACTAACAACACAACAGTGTGAATATTTTTCAACAGATTTTCAGTGCTGATATAAGACAGGTTCAGAAATGTCAAGCACGCAAAAGATTAAACGGCAGGCTTAATGAGAAGAAGGCCTTGAGTAGCTTCACATCCAAATGCGCGATGATAAGTGGTAAACACAAAGCAAAACTGAGGTTGTGGCAGTTTCCACTATGCCAGACCGACTGCGGTGTGATGCTCGCGTATAATAGTGGTATGCCTAATGCTCCTAAATGCGTGAGCTTAAAGGAAATCTCATACTACAGGCGTGATCCTCGACCCGAGTTTTTCAGCACTTCCCACGACCGACTGGCCTCGGACGTGAGTGGCCGTGTAAGTGGTGTCTTGTCCGTTCAGTGAACCGGTGCCGCTCAGCGCGTCCGGACGTCGCTGCAGAGGGCAGCTAGGAGCCAACCATGCCTTGTCGGAAACCCTCACAGTGTCCTGAAACACCATTACCAACTATGCATCCCCCCTGCTTCCCGGCCTCAATGAAAAGATGTACTTCTGATGAATGATTTAAACTACACTAATTGGCACTGGTCCCTTGCGCATGGGTGATTCTGCGTGTAAACCGACCACCACACGCAGGCGCTCTCCGTAATGCAAAAGCGAATGCCGTGGCAACGGTAGCGGAGGTGTCAACAGAAAGAACAGCATCTCTGGGGAAGCGCACGTCCGGACAAAGTCATCGAAAGGTTTTGCTTTGTAAGGAAGCGACTGCAGGTACTGCCTTGGGGATGTCGGGCATTATTGGACCTTTGTGGTTTGAGACTAAGAGCGGAGGATATGCGGCAGCCAATGACACGAGATGCAGCGGCGTCCATATGTTGTTGGCGGCACCGTGAAGGAAGTCGTATGTCATGAGAGAGACTGGATGGTTCTAACAGAATGGGGCAAAACCACACGCAACAGAGGTTTTATAATAGTGATTGTCTGCCCACTGCGAGGAGCGGGTCATTTCCGCAAATCGCAATCGAGGGACTCTTACTTTCCGATCTAAGTTCACTCGACTTTTACCTGCTGGGTACCGCAAAGACAACATATAACTGCAAAGAACTATAACCGCAGAGACAACCTATACAGGAAAAGTCACAGACCAAAACACAACCAAAACCACTTTCAGAGCTGAAAACAGGGTTGCATGCCCATATCAGACCAATCTCGATAGTAAAGTGCGAACGACTGATAAACTAATCCGTACGTTGCCTCCAAATTGCATTGACTTGGACCACATCTATGACAGATCATATGAAGTTCAATGCTTGAGAAAAAACGAGCAGATGGAGCACATAACTTCCCGCAGGATTTGAAGTGGCTATGACAACAGATGACCCTTCTTGTACTTTTTTACGCAAGTGTATTGGCTATGACTCGTTGTCTGGGTACCCTGTGTACTCACCCCGCTGGGACTTGTGGCTCGTGAAGAAAACAGGCGCCTGGTACTTGTAGGGCGATGCAACGTTCTGTGGGCATAGGCCAAGAGCCTCAGGGTTCTCCCTCCGCATTAAAACATAAGAAAAGAAGAAATGTGCTGCTTTCGCAGCGAAATGGATGAGAGCGTGGACGCGTTCAGCGAGCGAGGTAGATAGTCTGCACAACCTGAGTTAGTACCGGAGTTGAGAACGTCTGGGGGCCATCTTCCACCTGATGCATTGTCTGCAACATTCTGGTCGTACAGTTCAAAGCCAGGCGGACTCTTGCTTGGGTCACGGCATGTTAGGCGGCCCACACTCCGATGGAGAATCGGTGTGCGCCCACCCGAGTTGGGACAGGTCCTAAAGGACAAGTGGCCTCATAATTTTTCGATTACCACAAGGGGTATGTGGTTCAAAGCGTCAAACAATGATCTGCGCATACCCGTACTGCAGTGGGGGACCCGTAACGCTCTCCGCGCGCGCACTTTCAGCCTGAGCTCTGGGGAATCGACCTGTCGACAAAGGAGGCTTTAATTTTCTATTTGCATTGGTGGTGTTGGCTGGCATTGTTCTGACTGGAACCGGAGCGGCAAAGACGTGGCCGGTGCTTGAAAGGCATTAGCAGACTGTCCGTCAGCAAACAGATAGCCCGCGTAGCATAATACGTTCGGAGCAGCGGACACTCATTTAAATTCCAGGCGACGAATGAATAACAAGGTGCGTGATATGCAAGAGGCAGCCAAACTGTTATGTCTTAAGTAAACTTTGGCAAACCAGCTAAATTTCAACTGCATATGTACAATGAAGTGGTGTGAAATTAACCCACGCTCTGGTAAGAGGAGGGAGGGAGAATTTTACCCCCATCTTTTCAAAATAGCCTTTTGATCTCAGGACGTCAACAGTCACCCAATTTGGACCTCATGAAGGTCAGCAGAGCTTGCTGACCTAAAATGGCCCGGATCAACCTTTTGCTTTTAAGAACATACCACCTAACGTAATCATTCAAGCTTAGTTCAATTTAAAAAAGTCTTGTAGGTTTTCGTTAACTATGACCAGGTGAACGCTAAATAAGGCCACTGGCTTCAAATGAACATTGATCCTTTGCTAGAAACAAGCATCAAGATAAAAGGTGCTTGGATGAGGTCTGAAGGCACTACGGACGCCGATCCGAAATTTTACACCGTTTGCCTTTTTCATCCGACGGTTCTGTTCTAAAGTACCTCCAACTTTGACACCAGTGAGTATGCATACAGACCTTCTTACTGCGTGCATTTAGTATCTTTAGATCTCTCCATCTTTGAGATCTCAGGAGGTCAAATTAACCCTACCCCTCCCCCCACACCCTATCCTCCAACCGAGCACGTCGCATTCAACCGGTCATGCAGACGCGTGTTAATAGATGAGGTAGGCATGATGTCATAACCGACAAATTTTCCTCCCAATTTTAGAACACGAGTCTTCGCCAAATTATATAAATAAGCAAATGTGTTAAAATTGCACCCGCTCCTCTAGAATCTCATGAACTACGAAATATAACAACAATGAGATAAAACAAACATGGCTCGTAAAACATAAAAAGTACAAAACGCTTTTAGACTACAAAAGGCTTCTTCATGTGCAAATTTATTGACCGCATAGCAATGCAGCCAGCGCCGAATTAGGCAAAACACCTTTCGATCTGACAGTCTTTGCGTTATTGGATTCTTCGCTATTTCCGTTGCCTAATTTCCATGTTTGATGGAAAATATAAGGTACTTAACATCACCCATGTACGTGATGTAAATGTCACTGGGATAAACGGAAAGGTATAAGCGTGTGACCACCCTCGAAACACGTGTTTTCCATCTGTGATGCGTTTAGATTTTGCAGACTTCTTTCTTTCGAACGACACGCAAGGCTCCCATGTGAAGGTACATGGAAAGGCAGTACACGACAGCCTCATTGTGATGGAGACCTTTACAAGATAGTCGGATAGATCTTGTCACTTTTCTTTCCGGGGTAAGTCTAAGTGAACGTTGATATGCCTGATTGATTTGATATTGATTTGATACACCGCAAGCGAAGCCGGATTAGATCGTAGTGATTCTAGAGGAATCATGTCCATGCTGGTATTGACGTTTACCAGCTTCGGCGTTTTTGTGTACTTTGACAGCGCATGGACGGGGGCAGAGTATTTTGGGGGATTTGTGCAGATTTTGGTATTCCTCCCTCGCAGACTCGGCGTTAAGTGACCTCGTGGTTAGGGACGAGCGGCTCTCGAGATCATAAGAGCGGCACTTGGACGAGCAGCTTTCGAGATCACAAGAGCGGCACTTGGACGAACTGCTCTCGAGATCACAAGAGCAGCGCTTGGACGAACGGCTTTCGGGATCATAAGCACGGCTCAAAACGTCGATTTTTACAACGCAACCAAAGTTTGCATGATAGCGTCGCTTAGCCGTTGCCCACTAGTACATTCAGAGTGGATCACTGTCGCCATTATAACGCTTAACTCATAATATCGAGTGTGCTCATATCAACAGCGGAACGATCACAGAGGCGTCGCATACCTTGGTGAAGTTGGATCCTCCTTTGCTTTTGCCGTACATCCGGAGGCCGAAAGATGCGGCCGTCTTGGCGGCCGCCAGGTCGGCGTCGCTGCGTGTCTTGGCAGCGTCACTCAGCGCGGTCGGAGCGATCACGGGGCCCGAGCCGTACCCGGACCAGTACTGACTCTGGCCGAGCGGAGCCAGCACTGACAGCAGCAGCGACCACACCTGACGACGCCCAGTGGCAAATCAACGGCAGAGTTAGGTCGGAAGTGACACCGCCAGGGCGTAGAGCGGTGCAGTTCTTGAGGGAAACATTGTTCATTTCGGTTGTTTATTCCGTTGTTTACTGCGTATTCTGGAGTGCGTAGGGCGTATTTGTCAACATGCATAATCGACGCGCGAACCTGGGCGAATAATTTGAAATCAGACGGCAAGCGCTAGACATCGGATTTTGGGATGGCAATTGGCAGGATCCTCTGCATTCCCACGAGACTGTCAGGTCACCAGTCTCTCGAGTTCGTGTGATTTAAGCACCAGTATCGAATCGTGTTCGTTTCTGATCGCAGTAGGACATAGAACACGGCGTAGATGCTATGTAGACTTGTGCGCGGACGTTCACACGTTTTGTTCGTTCGTTGCTAATGGCCGCCGGTGTTCCCGCCGACGCCATCTTTGTAACTTTTGCGCGCCTGTCAGCCGCCTGACAAGCCATGTCCTGTGCAAACTTTTGCTCGATGTTCAAGACGTTACGTTCATTTGCTGACAACATGACAGCCTGCTGAGTTACATTACCATAGTTTGTGATGAATGCTGCTTATTATTATGACCGTATCAAGATGTGTCATTATCACCGCATGTCGGCTATGATTGCGTGATAGTGTTTGCGACACCTACGTGAGCCACGCAACTAGATATCACTACATTTTTGTGTAACTGGTGACCAAGGGAAACCCGAAGACGATTTGACGGGGCAGATCCAGCAAACATGGCTGCCCAGATAGGTGTAACGTAATATTGCAAGGTTGGTCATATTTCATTCTGAACCATGGTTTTCTCTGTCAGTGGCTAGAACACGGCTAAACCATGGTGTTCTCCATTCTTCTAGCTTGCTTGAGTTTCAAGATTTTGGATAGCGGCCTCTTAGGCCCACTTGCAGAGCGAAGGTGAAAAAGCTTGTTGGGCAAGGGCTGGCGTTATTCAGAACGGGCTTTCAGTTAAACCAATTTTTGACAGGTACGGGCAGATTCCCCCCCCCCCCCCCACCCCACCCCCACCACCGGTGTGATCTCACCGGTGTGATCTCTCTATGGGGCTGAATTTGGAGAAAAAAAAACTAAACGAGTTATGATTCCTCTCGATGATTTTTGCATTTTTATTAGACTTAAGGCCAATCATGTCTGACAGGAAAAGTCGTGTATAAATTTAATATATATTTTTGATTAGACACAATTGTCAAGGTTTTGCTTACTCAACCAACACAAAACAAAAGGTAACCGAGAGTGCCCACCTTTGTCAACCGCGACACACAGAACCTTACGTTAATACCGGCATTAGTAACTGAAGCATTGAAGGCCGCGGAGCTCCCAGCTAAAAAAAGAATGTGAAACGTACTAAACAAAAGAAGAAAACAAGCGTGGTCAGAGGGGGCAGTGAAGAAAAGCTAATGCTGTCATGAATGCATTTGTTGGTAAAGGATAATTCAAAGCAGCTAACTTCAAAGATGACAACTGGCGCGCCGCTAATACCATTATTCAATTGATGGAGTATTACAACACAATGTCAGGGAAATGTTTTACAAATCATCTGATACGGAACGATATCCTGGTCTTGTGGCTTGCGTGCCGCCACCTGCATCCCCCGCAAGTTGGCTGTCAGAGGCTGGCAGAAATGGCGGGCACTTAGTTTTAGCGACCAATCTCGGAGCAACTAGCGACTAACAAAATACAATGACTGACATACATGCGATACGGAGAAATTCTAACTTGAAAATGGTTGGCCGCGTATAGGAAGTGCAAAACGGGGTACCCAGTGCATGCACAATTCATAGAATGATGTTTTACTCCGTTAACTATACACGAACATTGCGGCACAGGCGAAGGCAGTGTGCCTGTTGGCGTGATGGAGAAGTATGCTAAGTGAGTGACATATTTAAGTGTCTGCCACAATGCTGTTTGTTTCGTGCTCTAAATGATGAAATTTCCCCATATAGCAATGAATGGACAGGGGCTGTAGGCGTATTCTGCTTTCCAAAGGCGAGACTATAGAGTCCCTTGCCCAATCGGTCACGCTTCAATCTCATATCCACACTATGGCCAGTTGGTTGAAGCGCGGCCTACTGCCGCTCCTGTCCACTGAAGCCCGCTGTTGGCGGTAGTCGTCTCCGTGTTGTCATCCCAAACCCTTTCGTTGCTCCTGGACTCCCCTCCGTCAAGACTTTTCAAATGTGTGCTGGAGTTAAGGATGTAATGCAGCGTTTTTCTTTGGGGGGGGGGGGGGGGCTGCATGCTTCCGGTGATATGACCTCGGCCTGCTGCCATTTCTGGAGGCATCTTTGCGCAATACCTCGTCTTCCCCTAGCTTCCCCTGCGCCTTAATCTTACTACGCCGTCCATTCATAGCACGGTAAAGCTGATGAGGGTCTGAATCTAGAATTTCAAAGTTCTGATACGTTATGATTTGGTCCCATGTGGCCAACCACGCAAGCATCAAAAGAGACATTGGTACATGATGACGGAATAAAAACGCCTCGAAAGTGAAGTTGATCAGCTATTTTCACAGGTCAAACGGCAAAACATAGTGTCGCCCCCGTTTATCATATTTGCCATGCATTTAAGAATATGGTTGCTTTAGAATGCGGTCGGACCAGATTACATTCCAGTCCAATAAACGCTGGCGTGAAAACGGCTAATGTGTGTTAAGTTGCGAAACAGCCACAGCTCGGCTTCAAGAGGCGGCGATGGCCGGAGGCGGGCGGTTCAAGGACAAAGCCGCGTGATACGAAAGCGCCCAGCGAGACACTAACAGCCAGAAGATGTGCAGCTCCGCAACACCACAGCCGGGCGCGTGACTGGCCCACTCGCAACAGCCCGAGGGGCTGTCAACGACCGGACGGCCGGGTCACCCTGGGCCCTGCAAACGCCGATGCAGCCGCGACGGGCGGGCACGTCGGGTGGCGCCGCGCCAGCCCAGCACCAACGAGCCCAGCACCGGCCCAGCACCAGGACCAACGAGACGCGATCTCGGCCCTGCGCCCGTGACACGACCCTGGCATCGAAGTTCAGTTCTGTTTGTCTTCGGCTGAGACGACACATCGCGGCCCCGCCGCGGGCTGAGAGACAGTGCAGCATGTGAGGGAAATCGTGAGCCTGGATTATAGGCTTGCGGTTCCCACGCGTCTCGTTTGACGGGTTCAACAAATCCTTTATCGCCAATACGTCGCGACATGAGTTTTGTGAACAGCAGGAAAAGGATACAGCGCACCAGACGCCATATATATATATATATATATATATATATATATATATATATATATATATATTATATGACGGCATATAAAAGGCTGTGCCAGCTCATAATAATTCGGTCAAGCTGTAACGCATTAACGTCACTTCGATCCTTTGCAATATCCAAAAGTGCACAGTTATCGCAGTGTAAACCACGAAGTCCAACAAAAATACATAAATTGTATAAAGCAGAACGGCTTGCAGCAACGTCTTGCACCTTTAGGTCAAAAATAATTATTGATCGGTCGCTTTGAAGGAATTAGGTGTTCCGAAAAAGGTTTTCCGTTTGTCAAATGGAAAGCTACCCACTCTACCCACCGATGCCATATATTTATGAGAGGTGCTATTTTTGTTTACACTGTAGTTAATCAGCAAAGTTTTGACCGTAATACCGCCACATCTGGAGATTGCTACTGGCTGCTGCTTCACTTATGACAGCGTTTTAGTGCATAGCGTTACGGTCGAGAATGAGGGGAACAGTGACAACTTGCAGATGCTCATTTGTTGGGAATAAAAACCCGCCTTTCGTGCGCCAAAGTTAAAGCTAATTCAATCATAAATAAAACGGGAACTCGTGGTTGACAGGCTCAATGCTATCCAATATTGCATCGGTGTGGCTCAACTGAACAAATCGCTGATACCGGCCTGCATTTGTTCTGTATTGTTTTCCGGCCTACATTTAGTTTCTACATTCGGGTCACCCCTCTACGTTGCCAAGCTATGATGTTGCAGAACTAGTTATGCACATACATATTCAAATTCAGCATAAATATTTTAGTTTTGATTTTTCAGCAGCCATGTTTCGGATAAGCATGCGTCAGAAAGTGATAAGCATTTTCAGTTAAGCACCCATGCGCAACTTTGCGCAGGTCTAATTAGGAGTTTGATATTGTCACACCATGAAGCGTTGACGGCGCACGTCTGACATTTTTACTTTGTTTCCTGGCCACCCTTTTTAAAGTCATTACATGAAAAAACCAAGGAAATTCGTTTTGAAACGTCAAGCTCCTTGCGAAGCGATCCATCAAGTGAGCACTCGGATCTCAAAGGATAGAGGAGGGGGCTGAAACACCTCTTGCATGTGACAAGACACCCGGTAGTCGGATCTGAAAGGGTAATCCTAAGTGAAAGACATAGTATCATAACCCGTTTTGCTTTAATTATTCGGAAAAGGATTTTCATCCACATGCCCGTTACCATGTGGCATGTAACTGACGGACACTTACCCACAGTTGCCAGCTGAGCTGCATTATTGCTCTTGTTAGACCGGCAGCCTTCCTCGCCCCTCACGCCCGACACAAATGCGCTTGTGTGGCCCGCTCGGAACCCCAGCCAGACATCACCTCGCCCCGCCCATGACCCAGGCCCCGCCCGTGCTGGTCACGCCCGCTGCTGCAAGGCCCATGCACGGGAAAGTGTCGGCCAGTCCGGGAAAACGCCGCCAGTCGCAGAGGAGCGACGGTACGAGTCTGACAGTTCAAGGCCTGGTTCGGCTGACAGCATGACCGTGTCTGCATGCGCTGGTTGCAGACAGCGTTAGGATTTAGCCGCTGTTCACTCTTCCATCCCGGGAATGAAGGGCTTCGTTGAATTTGGGCGCCATGCCCAGTCAAGCCTAATGACAGCATGTTGGTATGCGTTGACCCGGGTCAAGAAAACCCGAGGCTGCGTTCAAATCTGACTCCCGGTGTCCTGAGTCTCAGTCCACGTTCTGAGTACACCCTTGACGCTTGGAAGTCCGAACACATTAGAGACTTATCAGTCCTAGTCTGCGTCCGGGCACTTGTAGATTGATTCCGGGTCTATGCTAGGGTTGGATTTCTAGCTCAATTAGTCCGAATGCACCAAATTCTTATGCGAATGCACACGGCAAAGGCAGTATTGTATCGCATTGTCACGCTTAGAGGTCGCCGCAGACAACAGTTAAACAGGGTGTAGACACATGTGCCTTAACGTAAATCTAAACTACGCATGTGAAGCGATTGTGCCAGCTAGATATAATCGTTGGGTGAAATATGTGAACATCTGCTTTTGACTTCCCTGATTTGTGCAGGACATTTCCGTGAGTTTCGCTCACAATGTCATTCTACCAAGTTTGTCTCCGGCTTGACAGAAGGTGACTGCCACCTGCAGCTCCTCTTATAATGTCCGTGGCCTTTTGCTTTTCCTGAATATTTTTTATACTTTTCATGAATATTCTACTCACCTGCAAACATCTTATGGCAGTAGCGCTACTTGGGGTGCATGTTTTTGTAATGTGCCACTGAAGACATCTAGCTCTGTATTAAGATTTGCACCTTTTATTGCTAGTGATATTTTACAGAAGCCGACGGACACCAGCGGCGGCTTGTGACGACCGTTGATATTTTTGCTTTATGGCGATGAATGACAAACGCAGCTGCTGTCACAACTCACACGCCCATGACGTGTAGCCGGTCTCTGCTTTTTTTAAATCAAAATTAGAAATCGTGAACACAAACGAATTGTAACAAATCTTTATCCGGGGGCTGATGGTGCTTTCATTACAGCAAGGGTTTAGTTCACAGCGCTACGGCAAATACACAGAGGTGCAGCAGCTAAAGGATTGGAATGTGTTAGGGTGCGAAACTGATTTGTTAACTTAATATTCATTGGTCATCCCAAGATATAGATCATTTGAATCATTCCCGGTGTGTCCAGTCTGTTAAGGCAAGCCTTACCTGCCGCCAATCGGAGACGGAGCAGAGGAAGGAAGACTGCTGAAATGTAGGCAGGTGCTGATGGCAAACTGAGCGTGATAAGTTTCGTTGGTCGATGCTGATTATCTACAGCTTTGTTCAATATAATTCAGCCAGATGATACTAGTCAGAAAGGAACGTACTTTGTGTGCTTTGTTTGAAATGAGAATGTTCCTCTCGCCCACAGTGGGAACTTGAATGAGAATCTCTGAAGCCCATATCCCAGGTTTCTAAAGTCGTTGCGTCGGAGACTTATCAACATTCACTGAGGCTGGAACCCGAGCCCGAGCACGTGTGCACGAGTTTTTCAACTGGCGAACCCAAGTCCGAGCTCACTCATCCGTGAAGTCAGGCGGTTCTCTTGAGTACGAGTTTCAAAACGTCATGAGTCCGGAATCGAGCCCGAATCCGGTTGGCCACAATTCGCAGTATGAAGTCCAGGAGCCGCTGGTCGGGCGAGTGAAGCGCACCAACCTGGCAGTCGTCGTTAGCGACACAGCGCTCTGATTTAGTGTTGATAGCATCCTCGTTCTCGTCTTTAAAGACTGATCAGTAAAGCCGTAATTTTACCAATTTGAGATAACGGATGAATGTCAGTGTTGTTTTGTCATGTTTTGCCAGGGAATGGTCATTCGAATGTCACTGTGGTCTTGGTTGCAGGAGAAATTCATTTGGCGCTGTTGAGTAAACGTAATTTAATTTCTGTCGGGGCCACTCCGTGTAAACGTTAGCTTCATTCGTGACTTTGATATTGTTGCATGGTTAAAGCGTACGGAACAATCCGAAGACTTCACCCGGTGGTCTATGTGTCTGTTCTCACGGAAAAGATGGTATTTTAGCATGGCTACGTTCACACGATTGAGTATCAGAAGGTATGCACATCGCACATGCTCGCTCACACATGCTCAAAGATACGCACATACTCGCCCTCCGCATTCGTGATAAAGGACTGTTTTCTTAGTAGTCATATGGTGTGCCGAATTGTAACTGGATGAGTGGAAAGAATCGTTGGCCCCGCTTCCTACACCCGCCAGTGCTGCCGACACTGAAGCTGTGCGTGCAGAAAATCGTCGTCTTCTGGCAGAAAATGTGCGCGTGCTAGCATAAAACGAAACCATTCCACCTTCACTAGATACCCCTGCAAAGTGGAAATCAAAGCAGGGGGCTGAGCTCTACTCCATCAGCGAAAAAAACATTCGCTTGTTAGGAGGCTGGAGGCCAGCATCCAGAAGAACTGCAACCGTACTGACTGTACCTACTGCAGTTCATCCCACCGGCGGTGAGTCAAGACGGCTTAAAGGGAAGAAGAGAACAATCTGGCACACGGATTGTATCGGTTAAGCTGCTCAACTCTCCTGACCCAACTGTATCCCCGTTGATGGCAAACCGGATCATAGACGAGTCTGGGATCTCCCTGCGCGCCATACGAAGCATTCAGAAAAAGAACTCCAGCACGCCTTCGGCTCAAGCCATCGGCATAGCCCGAAAGACGTATGTATTCCGTATGTTTCGAAAACACTGGGCAAAATTCATTTTGGTTGGATAAATTTGAGACTAAAGCTCAGCTTGTAGCCGGACTATGGTTATCATACCTCGAAATTGTTAACACTCTTCTTCACAAAATTAAGCCTTATGACAATGGAGCTGAGACAATGGAGTGCTAGCAAAAGCTGAACTTCCAGCTATGCTCAGCAGGGTCCAAAACGATCTCGAACCGCAAGTTGACTTAAACCACCGTTGCCGCTGGTCTTGGCCACCGCATAGCTGGGACTGTTATTCTTCTGAGCTTCTTCTTATGACTTTTAAAGGTGGAACAACAAAAACAGACACTTTCCAACATGTCAGGAATTGGGGCTTTGGCCACATTTGAACCAGAATTAGCACAGTGTGCACCGCAGCGGTCAACGGAGCAATGGAGGTGCATCCGGGGTTGAGAGGCGAAACCAATGCGAGGTCACTGCAGCATGAAAGCTGAGCACTGCACGAGTTACCTTGAGATGTGGTGGGTAATGAGCCACACATTTCATAACCATTCGCTAGTGATTAACTTCAATATGAAATCAGCATAGGCACTTAAAGACATGCGACATTTGTGGTATCATATTTTCATTGTAAGGTACGTGATGTCGAAGCGGATTGCATGTGCCTGAGGGTATGGGTGTTTCAGCATGTTATAAATTTATGTTTTTCCTGTCATGCTAAATTGGTGGCCAAATGTTATCATAATGTGCACAGGAATAACATTATTGTACAAGAACTACGAAAATGTTCCGTACTAAAGGAAATGCGTCCAGTACTCTGGTTCATAGTTTGACCACTTCTTGCACCAGCGCTCTTGTATACATCGATAATGCATATCATAATAAATCAAATCGCCGTTTTCGCCAAAGATAGAAACAAAGTAATCCGGTAGATGTTGCCCCCCCCCCCCCGCGCCACCTTTACAGACATCCCGCGCCCCTGATGACTCCTGTCTTTTACAACAGCGCTAATCAGATTGTTTACGTGCTTTGGTCTATGCCTTGGCAGTGACCTTGTTCTAGGCCCTGACAATCGCTGCCTTCAAGACTCTGGCAGTCGCTTTGTTCTAGGTTCTGGCAGTTGCTTTGTTCTAGGCCCTGGATGTCGCCGAAGTCACGATGGACTCAATCCTGCGCAGCTGCTCGTGAAAGCGCGGTTCTGGTTAAGTCTCTGGACGCAAGCTGGCTGACCTCCAGGATCAGTGCTACACAACTGCCTCAGAGAGGCACAGAAGCCTACTGGCGAAGGCTGCTCGCGCCCAGCCGGACAAAGAGGTACGGCGTCTGGACGCAGTGCGTCGCGGTGGGCAGCTGTACGCGTTTGGGCGCAGCGCGGTCCGCAGCACTGGCGGTCATCGCCCACCACCAATGATTTCGCGACACACTTTAGCTTTGTTCATTGCAACAGGGGAGTATTCACGAATGGGCAGTTGTATGTGAAACAGGGCGTTGATATGCCCAGAGATGCCACTGGGACTGGTTCTCCCACTTTAGTCAGTCCTGAGGAGGAGCTCATCTTTTTGCGGTCCGAGACGCAGTGCATCGTGCGAACCGGACGGAGTTTCTGCCGAGCACCTTCTGTATGGAGACTCTCCAGGCTCTTCACAGGCCTAGGCACGTCTGATGGCCGTCTGTTCTAATGGAATACGGCTGTCCGCCAGCTCTGCTTGTAGCACAATAATGGCCTCCGTAAAAAACTTAAATCTGGCCCTGAACTTTTGGAAAATCATCAGCTGATCTCGCTTGTTTCCTTTTTCTCTGAACTTCTGGAGATTCCATTTCTCGAGGGGCTTAAGCCGCTCCTTGTGTGGAGCGAGCTGCCCTGAGCTGTTATTTGCGTTAAGCGAGCACATTTACACGTAGGAATAGGATATATATATATATATATATATATATATATATATATATATATATATCGAGAGGAGCAGATCCCGCAATAGGGAGAGGGGGGGGGGGGAGAGCCTACCACCACGACATCGCGAAAATGCCGCCGCCAAGCATCGTTGGGCGGTGGTGTTAAAATGGTCCCGACTCAGTCGCAATCTTAGACGGCCAAGG